GAAATCCACAGGTTTCTCTTCTAAAAGGAAAAATCTGTGTTTTCTCTGATAAAAATGGGAAATTTGTGGTTTTGTTTTTCCGTGGGAAACAGAAAATTCAGATCCCTAGTCATCAATAAACTAATTTACATAAAAGCTGAAGTAAGAGGGAAAAATATATGGGGCCAGTTCTTGATTGGAGTAAGTCAGTATCATTCCACTGAAGTAAACAGCATAATATGGCTGCGTCCACACAAGCATGGATGTTTGGTCCCCCGAGGACAACTAGCAGTGGGATACCCTGTGCCTCTGCTACTTGTCTCTGGGGAATGCCTATGCCACACACTCTCTGGCATGTGGCAGGTTACTCCCAGGTGGAGTCGGGGAGGATGGGGTCAGCACTGGGCTGGCCCCAGCAGCCTTACCTGGGGTTCTGGAGGCCTCCCGGGGCTACAACACTGGCGATTCTGCCCGACAGAGCCTAGCCAGCAGTGCAGCGTGGCTCCAGCCAGCCAGGCTCCAACTTCGGGTGGCACACGCTACTACAGCATGCGCCACTCCACCTTTTTCCCCGCCCAGATATCCAGGGGTCAAGAAAAGACACCCTCCACGCTGCTCCCTTGCTGCACAGAGAACAACTGAATGTACAGTATGTGGTGCTACAGTCCTGTCTGCAGCAACACATGCCACATGGCCACACTCATTTGGACGTGGCCCCAATGTCTTTGAAGCACTACAAACACCATGGGTGTAGATGTTCACACCTGATTAATTACTTCAGTAAAGGTCACTGCACTTCCTAAAACATACCAGCACTTTCCAGAAGAGTGACAGAGGATTGCTTACTCTCCCAGCATCCCACACTGCCATCTCACAGCAGGAGGAAGAGCAAAGCAGAGAAGCAATAAGCACTTTCCTCTGTGCTTGGCTCTCCTATAGAACCTCTATAAATCAGCCCAAAAGGCGTGCAGAGATTCCTGCTCTCCATTCCCCTGACTGGAGACAACCACTGCTATGTGCTTTCATGGACATTTTGAAGTGCGCTGGGGACTGGAGGTAAATGCATGGACCTGAAACAAACCAAATATAGAGCAGGATTTGGAGCACTTCAGATTATTTTCTGTCCATATCCACAGGAGCTATTTTTAGCCTTCTCAAGTCCCACTCAACTTCCACTTCTGATTCCCTGCATTTTTTTTGCACCTCAGGGGGAAGTTACTGCTCTCCACACAAACTGCAATGTTCTGGGAACCTGAACAATCATGTGACACAAAGCACTGAAAGCCAAATCTTTTTACGCTCTTACCAGGTAAGGAATAGCCAGATTTTTGAAGTTTTCTATCAAGAAGTTGAGCACTTTGTCCCGTGGCAAGGCTTCCACTTCAGGGAGGTCTTCTGTAAATATCTGTCAAAAACAACATTTCTACTTAGGCTGATTTTACATAGGTCTGTAGTCTCGGTGTTCTGCAGTGCAGGAATAAAAAATACTGCACTGTACTTCACAAGTCCACATCAACTATGGGAGGCAGTAAAGAATCAGAACAGCAGATTTAACCTCTGTTTCTGATACGAAATAGCACACAGAAGAGCCACACTAATTGCTGCCTAAGGTAAAACATACACACCCTTTCATAAAGTTACCCACCTCTAACCAAGAACAGGAACGGGCAGCCCGTTCAAAAGCTGTAATAGACAGAAATAGCAAATTTCTCTTCTATCTGTACTTAAATATACAGAATGGAATTCCATACTGCATTCTTCTTGCAGAATTTTTTTTGTAGCAAAAGTTCCTCTTTCAGATGACAGTGTGGACAGAAGAGTTCCAGAACAAACGAAACTATTCCAGTAAGTTCATTCTTAAGACATCAAGACAAGGACATGAAAGACCACACTTCCTTGGTCCATTACCAGGCATGTCATTTGCTACAGGATCTATATTGAATATAAAGTGAAAACCTGAACTTTCCACTGAAGTTCTATAGCAATAACTGGACACTCTGACCCAGCTCACCAAGCCGAAGAAAAATAATGAACAAATGCCACTGTTCTAGATGGGTGTAGGTAGTAGCTGTGTTGGTCTAAGGACATTAAGTTGGTCTAATAAAAGATATCAGATTCACCCATCAGTACTCTGTGCTGGATGCAATTTCAAGAAATAAGATATTTGCTGCAGCCATTCTTACCTTCAGCCCATCTTCAGGAAAGTCTCTGAGCACCCAGACAGAATAGGAGAATACCAAGTGCAAGTTCTCTGAGCCTACAGAACAAGGAATAGAAACTGACTACATGAAAGTAAAA